GGGATTGGGGGCAGAAGCCAGCCGGCCACGACGGCCGAGGGTTTTCCGCCGCCCCCCAACCCCCCGCCCCGCGGGGTAATTTACATGCTGTCACAGCCCCGTGCTGACTCCTGGGCGTGAGGCTCGCTCACTCGCTCGCCGGCTCACTGGGTCACTCGCTCTCGGCTCCTGCCACCGCTCAGCCGGCACAGCCCAGGGGAGCCCGGGAGCGGGAGAGCCAGCGAGCCGGGGAGGGAGGGAGCGAAGGAGGGAGGGAGCGAGGGCGCGCCCCGGCTCTCCCTCTGCCCTGCCGCCCGCCCTTCCTGCTGCCACAGGTCCGCCGAGCCCCGCTCACACTTTGGAAACTTGGGACTGTGCTAGGGCCGCGGGTGGCACCTAGGGGGAGGGCAGAGGGGGAGGGGAAGAGGAGGAGGAGGAGGAAGAGGAGGAAGAAGAGGAGGAAGTGAGCCCAAGGATCCGCTCAGAGCTGTTTGTCCAGCTGTTTCTATTCGCACCCGGAGCGGCACAGCCAGGAGGGGGCCGAGCCGAGGGTGGCTGGCTTTAGGTGCTAATTTCCAACTCTTCTCGCAGCTTGTGTTTTCCATACACCCTGGAGTCCCCTCAGGCCAGCCCGGCGGGCGCGCACCTGCCAGTCGACCCTGACCTCGCCGGCCCAGCGGCCCCCGAGTCTGAGAAGATGGCCCAGTCCAAGACCGACTGCCGCTCACCTGTCGGTCTCGACTGCTGTAGCTGCTGTCTGGACCTGGCCCACAGGAGCGGGCTCCAGAGCGACAGCAGCGGAGAGAACAACAACCCGGGCAGCCCTACCGTGAACAACTTTCGGCAGCTGCAGGAGAAGCTGATCTTCGAGAACCTCAACGCCGACAAGCTCAACAGCATAATGCGGCAGGATTCGCTAGAGCCCGTGCTGCGGGACCCCTGCTACCTGATCAACGAGGGCATCTGCAACCGCAACATCGACCAGACCATGCTGTCCATCCTGCTCTTCTTCCACAGGTGGGTGACTGGGCATACAGATGGGCACGCGGGCCAGGCCAGCGCCAGCCTCTGCCGGACCCTCACCTCTGACAGAAGGCGCTACCGTGAAGTTCACAAGGGGCGGGGCGATAAGACTTGTCGCTGATGCTACCTGGAGTCCCGTGGGGCTGAGGGGAGGCCCTGCAGGTGGGAGCCCGATCTTGAAAGGTGCCCGCAGGAGACTTTCCCAGGGAAATGCTGCAGTCCAGAGGGTGGACAGAGCCCTAGATAGGTTGGGGGTAACTGGCAGCACCCATTCTCAAATGCATACATTTCCACTGCCACTTTGGAGATTCTGCCGCGGGATGCTCTTGGGATCTGAGTTCTACCCTTCTCAAAATATGCAAACTCAGATTGAAATTGCAAGGGCTTTTAAATTACCAAGTGGCCCTGGCTGACCGCGAGGGTAAGCAAAATGTCCAGACAAATTAAGCCCTCTGCTGGTGTGGGGAGAGGGTGGAGAACAAGAAAAATTAGAGATGTGTGAGAATTTTTTGAGACTCTGGATGGGGGTACCCCCACCTCCTCCATGGATTACAGACTTCAATTTCCAATGATGGGCAAAAGCAGCCCCAGAGAGCATCCTAGGACCGGTGGGTGGATGAACCCATATCTTCCCAGGCCTGTGTAGGAGTGTGGGTCATACTTTCTAGAAATCCTGCTGAAGGGCAAGGAAAGAGGGAGAAGGGAGAAACATAATAGGAAGATATAAGGTGGCTTCTGCCCTCCATCCAGTCTGAGACACTCTGGTAAGAGTCAGTCTTTAGCGGGGAGACAACTGAGGCAATTTTGAGTCAGGGGAAGCAGGAAACCCAGCCTTAGGTCTGGTGTTCTTAGAACCATTGGGATGGGACACTAGTGTGTGTGTGTGTGTGTGTGTGTGTGTGTGTGTGTGTGTGTGTTAGTGCGTGTGTATAGGGGTGGATCTTATTCTCTCAACAACAAAGGTTATATTAAGAGAAAGAGAACCCCGCTGAGATAGACCTGGGTTATGGTACAAATTGTGGCTCTACTTCGGTGTGTGAACCTGGGCAAGTTCCCTGATCACTCTGGCCTCTTAAGGTTCCTTGTAGTTCTGAGATTCCAGGTCATGGGCAGGTGGTGTGTTGAGACAAGGTATAAGCGATTTTGAGCATCCACAGAATATTTGAATCATTGGGCGGCTTTTCAGTGAAGCACACATAGGAAATTTTATAAGCAATTAAGATTGGTAGGAACTGCCCTCACTTGATGCTACTAAGCGAGGGCATCTAAGTGAGGGCTACTAAGTGAGGTTTGCCTCCTCAGCCCAGAAATTCCAGAAGGGGACAAGCAGGGCTGCTGACTTCGCTAAGCATTATCATAACAAGTTGTATTTCTCAGGCATTTTCCATGCCTTCAATGCACTTTCTCATTTATTGTTTCACATTACGCATCAATTTATCTCATTGTCTCGAAGAAACCAGGCCACATGTGGAACAGGTTTCGAGGGAATCTTCCATTTCTGGCCAAAGATTACTACAAGTGTATTCACACCACGGACAGACTCTGCATCCCTGCGGAGCTAAAGCCCTCCGCTCTGTAGGAAATTGGTGGTGGGGGAGGGGTGGCAGAAACACCTGGAAAGAGGGCCTATAGCATTTGTACTATTTCAACCGGGAGAGAAACTGCCCCAAAATGGCATTGCTGAAGTATAAGAGGGAAAGCTTCCTCAGCTCTGGTTCCTAGGTTCAGGGCCTAAGAGGTCGGACCTATGTGCATGAGGTATGAGGCTGAGAGCCTGAGATCAAAATGTTGGATTGTGCCATACCTTGGGATGCTTTCTGGTTATCTGGGTTTCTTGAATGGAAAAACCTCCTTTGTCACCTACTCCATTGACACCTGTCTGTTGACTCTTGGTTCTTGGCAAAGCCTGGAAATACTATGGGTTGGGGGTATGGGTGGAGGGAGCAGGGCGAATTGTTAAGAAGGTGTACCTGAGTACCCTGCCTCCTGGAATCAGAGCAACTCAGTGTCCCAAACAGCTGAGTAGCAAACCAGCAAGCCCTCTGGCTTAGGTGAGGCTGGGGAGTGACCTGGTCCTGTGGTAATAGCCCTATAGTTCCAGCAGGACAAAGCATTATCTCATTTTCCTTGACCTTTCCTGGGACCTCAGAAATTGGAGATTCTGAGTTTGGTTTAGCTTTTGCCCAGAATGACATGCTCCTTAGCAGAGTAGGAGACCATTATTGTCGGTCATGGGACTTCTCCCGTATCTGAGCTGGCCAGCCTTCTCCAAAGTGAAAATTTTGTCTTTTCTTACTTCATTTATTCCAGGGTTTCTGTCTTCAAAACTCAGCCATACTTTTTACTTCTGTTCCATTTAATGATTTAATGTTTCAAGTGCCATCATTTTTACTTCTATTCCATTTAATGATTTGATATCTCAAATTCCTGCTTGGGTGTCCTTTTTCTTTTAATTTGTCTACTTTCAAGCCTGCCTCTTCTCCTGGGAGAGAGACTCTCCTGCCTCTTCTGCAGCCTACTCTCCTGCTGCAAGGGCCCCTATATTCTAGGGAGGAAGGGCAGGGTACATTCTTCATTTCTATCTGGTTTCTCTGCTTTGATCTGTCCCTGGCTCCTGGGCTTAGCTCTTGGTGTCCTTGGAACACAAGGGTGTAAGCAATATGAGGGCAGGGATGCGTTTTACACTCACTTGGTTTTCCCTTGGCTTCCTGTTATACAGCCAGTGCCCATAACCGTTGTGTTGTTATGTTGCTGTTGTTTTTTTGTCAGATGGCTGCTTAATTATTGGTGTGGTCTTATGTAAAGATTTTACAATTTTAACCTAGTCTTTGGAAAAATACTAATATTTAAGTGGGATTTCTGTTGTTGTTTGAGCCACATGCATTAACTCTCATAGCCTGGTAGTTCCAGTGGACCGTGCTGTGTATATACCTACGAATGAGTGGTAACAGGCATGCAGCTTGTTGGTATGTGAAGTTGCCTCTAAAATATTGGGGGGAGGGGTGCCTGGATGGCTCAGTTGGTTAAGTATCTGACTGAATTTCAACTCAGGTCATGATCTCATGGTACGTGAGTTTGAGCGCCGGGTCAGGCTCTGTGCTGGCAGAGCAGAGCCTGCTTGGGATTCTCTGTCTCCCTCTCTCTCTGCCCCTCCCTGACTCGTGCTGTCTCTGTCTCTCTCAAGATAAATAAACAAACTTGAAAAAAATATTGAGTGAGGGAAGATGTGTTTTAAATACCATCCCTTCAATCTTGTGTTAGGTAACTAACAATTATAATAGATTAATAGCTAACATTGATGGAGCGTTTACAACAATATATACTAATCTCATTTGATACTTACACCAACCCAATGAAATGGGTACTGTTATCACCCTTCTTGATTTTTAATAAAGGAAATTGAGGCTTGGGAAAATTAAGTAACTTGCCTGATGCCTCACAACAAAGAGCAAAGCCAAAACTCCACCTAAGATCAATCAGACACTAAAGAATTGTCTGCAAAGAAAGAATTGTTAAGCAGAGGTAAATATTAGCCCAGAAACTAATCAAGTGGTTAAAATGTCCTTACTAGGTAGGGTGACAAACCCTCCAATGTGAGGAAACAAGACTTTCAACGCTCAAACTGGGATAGTCCCAGGGAAACTGGGATGGTCGGTCACCCTTTTATTAAGGGACTCTGCCTTACCATTTGAATATGCTTCTAAGACTGGAGAACTAAGGAGGCAGATAGAACATACTGGATAAGCAGCTAAAATTTCCAATTTAAATATAGCCTATGAGGGACGCCTGGCTGGCTCAATCCATAGAGGTGACTCTTGATCTCAGGGTTATGCATTCAAGCCTTACGTTGTTGGGTGTGGAGCCTACTTTAAAAAAATGTAAGTAAAAAAA